TAGACATCGCACTTTTAAATAATCGACGTTATAAAATAAACACCACGACGGTTTTTATTTATTGCCGTTTCAAAAAGAATAGAACGTTGTTGCATTCCTAAAAGGACACAATTTAATGTGCAAACAACCAATTAAAAATACCCGCAAGTGCACGAATCTATCGAAGTATAGATTACTGGAAAAGAATGCATATTTCAATCGATTTTTTTCACTTCTTCATTAAAATTTACGACAGTTTTATCTAATCTAGACGTTAGAATGTTTATACAACGACGGTACTTTTATGCCGCCGTATGAAATTAAGTCCTACGTCTGTTTGTTCAATAGTCCGTCGTCTTAATTGAAATACTACGACAATCTTTGATTTATGTTCTATTAATCTGTTTGCTTTTGAATATACGACGGGTTTTTTCTCCCGACGTTGTAAATTATAAACAACGACGATATTTAACTACCGACGTGTTAAATGAGTACTACGTCAGTTATTTAAGAAAACCGTCGTTGTAAATAATATATTACATCGGTTTATTTATCTGTTTTACACTCTGCTCAGTGTCTAACAATCTCTCTTTCTCTCTTTTAGGATGATTTGCAAAAGCAAGTCTCCGAAGGCACTCTGACTGTCTCCGAGAGCAATGATATCTTGACTCTTGCTTTGGGAACCCCCGAGTATGGTGGGAGAGTCAGAGGAGTTGGTGCTGGCATTTCCCCAACTCAGTTCTTCAATTTGCTGAGACAGCAGAGAGTAACATTTGCTGACAAATTGAAGGAAAGTCTGACGGAGGCAGTCAGAGAAGAGACCTTGAAGATTGAGGCAAGGTCAAGGGAAAGTATAATGGAAGCAGTCATAGCAGAGAGGGAGGTTATGTTGGCACAATTCTGTCAACTAGTTCCTAATTTTGATCCCAACATGCTCAAAACCCCAATTTCTCCAATTCCTTTACCCCCTCAAGATCAAAGCCCAAAAAATCCAATGTCTGATAAGGCAAGCTGCTCTGGGGCCACTAATATCAAACCCCTAGCTTTGGGGGTAGAAGATCCAAAGCATGATGCTGATACTGCTGGAAAATAGCAAAATGACACGGTAAAATCTCTGATATTTTCTTTTTCTGCTTTTTAAATTTTAAATAGACGTTGCTCTTTTAAATATCCGACGTTAACATTTCAAACAACGACGGTATATTTTTTTCGACGTTGGAAAACAATAATACGTCTGTTTCTTCCAAGAACCGTCATTTTGAGTTAAATACCACGACGCTTTTACTTGTTTTGCAATTTATTGGGCATTAAAAATAACGACTGTCTTTTTTGTCGTCGTCTAATTCTTTTATAAACCGTCGTCTATTTCATGAAAGCATTAACTGCATTTTAATTAGACGACCTTTCTTTAGTGTAGCGACGTTATAACGTTTGTACAATGACGGTTATGTATTTACCGACGTCTATAACCTTTCCTCCGTTAGTATGTACTAGAAACCGTCGTTTATATTATATACCACGTTTGTTTTTTGGGTTTAGTTAGAGTCGTTTATTTTAGTTCACACACAAACTAACTTATATTTCTTAATTTATTTCTTGTAACAAGATCTCTCAAAGCTAGACATGCCACCTCCTCTGTTAACCTTATGCCAACTTGTCCAGACCAAGTTGTTGCCTACTAACGAGACTCTGACAGTTCACTTGCCCAAGGAAGTGTTTGGCTTTGAGCATGATACCTTCCTCTTCCCTGAAGATATTTTGCAGTTTGGTTCCATGGTTGAGATTGGAACCACAGTGATATCAGTATACATGAGGTAATTCTAGAAATCCCATTTTGTTTTACATTTCCCTTTCTTTTAAATTAAAATCTCATTTAATTGACTTTCATATATTTAGGTTCCTATTTGACTATTTAAAAATGGCAAATATGGTAAACCTTATTGGCCTCGTGGACCCTGGGCTAGTTAGCTCTCAATCTAGATCTCTATCAGACCGAACAAAAAACCTGTCAAACCGCCTGAAAACAGCAGATGGGGATCAATTTTTCTTGGTCCCTTATAATCTAGGGTTAGTCCCCTTAACTATTTAAAGTATTTTCCTTGTAATATTTTTCTTTGTAGTACTATTTAACCTATATGGATCATTATGTGTATGGGTCATTGGGTGATGGTAATTGTGAGACCAGCAACGGAGACTACCTATTACATGAATTCACTGCCAAAACGCTCCGTTGATGACGACATGAAAAGTATAGTGAATACGTAAGTTGATTTATTCTGATCTAAGATTTTTTTTCCTTTAATGCATTTGAAGTATACGATGGGTTTTTATAATATCGACGTTATAATGACAATACAACGACGGTAAGTTATTACCGACGTTTTAAATGATTTATTACGTCAGTATTGTCTTAAAAACGTCGTGTTAATTTAACTACCACGTCGTTTGGGTTTTATTTAAGAACGTTTTAATTTTTTCTGTTCAATTTTTTGTTATACGACGTTTTTCTTGTTACCGACGTTATAATGTTACACAACGACGGTAGTTTTTTACCGCCGTTTGAAACAAAATGGTGTTGACCCGCTCACATTCGTCTATCCATTCACTGTAGACGTCTATGGGTTTAGTCAAAGGTGTGATGGTTGTGCTGAAACTCTCTTGGCAAACGCTGCAGAGGGCCTCCCCAATCATGTTCTTCATGTCAATGTCGCATTCAACGCTGCTCCCGTGGTTGCAGAAGGGGCAACAGAATGCTGTATCAAGCTTCTCTCCATTCGCTTCTTGGCAACAGGCTTTGCCCTCGACGACTTTCTCTTCCCCATTCTTATTCAATCCCTCCCTGAGTGTTTGTTTATGGCAACTTATGTATGTTGTATTAACCTTCTCCACAATGAGGTATTTTTTTATCGATACCACAATGAGGTATTTATACAAAGCAACAAAGTCCTAATTCTACAAGGAAATGAGGCTGTCACTCATCAAGTTAGATTGGGAAACTTGGGAACCAAGAAATCATAGTCCTACTCCTAATCTTAATAGGATTAAGTTTCTATTTTTCTTCTTTTCCTTTTTTTTGAAAAACAAAAACCAAAAACAAAAAGGTTGTCACTTGTAAGTCGGATTTGGAAACTTGTGAACTAAGAAATCCTCGTTCTACTCCTAAAACTAGTCGGACTAGGTATAAATTCTGAAGTCTCTCCCCTATATATACGTAGGTCTCTTTAGAATGGAAACCACAAGTTATAGCTTCTATTTCTCTTGTTGCTGAGTTCGTTTTTCAAAGGCTTCTTAATTGTTCAATTTTTTTGCGTTGCTTTGTTTCTATATTCATATGGCTTCCGGAAACAAAAGTAGAACACAACTTAAGCCACCCATGAGTTTCATGTTGCCCCATGAGATTTTCCACGTCACAAAACCAGCACACCAATGGTACGAACATATGGATAATCATGATTACGATGATGATTATTACGACGATGATGATGATGATGATTATGATGGTGATGGTGATGAGGATTATGATGATGAGGATGATGATGATGATGATGATGATGATGACGACGGTGTTTTCTCACTGCTTGTGCAAGATGAAATTGATCAACATGAGTTTGACAGCCCCGAAAGTGATAATTATACTCTGTATCTGGATGGTTCAAATCCAACCCTTCATCAATATCATGATCAAGATGATGATTATGATGAGGGCAATTTGACAGAGCCATTGTCGTCCCCACCAAGATCTGCATCATATTTTGACTGCAACATGTGCATGAAAATGGCAAGAGAGCCAGTTGTGACTTGTTGTGGGCATTTATATTGCTGGCCTTGTTTGTACAGTTTGTTGAGTCAAAGGGAGTGTCTTGTTTGCAAGAGTAGAGTGTTTGATTCTTTGATCACTCCTATTTACAACACCAAACCTCAACTCCGGCTTCAATGTGCCACCAAGACCAAGGGGGCCTTTTCGTCTATCTTGAAGATTTCAATTAATTTAGTCCGGATTGTATTTTGGTTGTTTATTATGCAATCCTTTATGTAATTCAGAAAGAAGCTACACTCTGTAGCATGCTATATTAAATTTAGGTTCTTTAACTATATATTTCCTCCTTTTTGTTTTGTGTTTCTTGATTTACCTTCTTAATTTACTCTCATAATTTACCATTGTTCTAGATAATTTTTTTTTTGGACGAAACCTTTGTTCTAGATAATTGGTTATTAATACAGAAAAAGAAAAGTCCTAGAAATGGGAATTCAAAGAAAAACATTGGACAATTGATAGGAGAAGTGCGAGGCTGATACTTATGTTCTCCTTTTGGCTCTATCAATGAAGTAATAGGGGCAAAAGTAGAATTTTAAGTTTGGTGAGAAACACATTAAACACTAAAAACATATTAACTTGTACTACTTGCCAAATACACAAGTCCTCAATTGTTCCAAGCATAGTCAATTTATGCTAATATAACTCAATGATCCCATTGAGTTAAAGAAATCTGTAGAAACTCAAAGCTGTTTTAACATCGAACATGTCGGTACACAACCCGATTCTATTACATTGATGATAGTTTAATAATGATTCATATAGCTCTTGCTCTCATAATTTACCTTTGTTCTAGATAATTTTTTTTTTTTGGACGAAACCTTTGTTCTAGATAATTGGTTATTAATACAGAAAAAGAAAAGTCTTAGAAATGGGAATTCAAAGAAAAACATTGGACAATTGATAGGAGATCGATAAATCAGAATTGTTAGGAAAAGCACAAAGTGTTTTAAGTACGAATTAGAGGAAGAAGAAAAAACAAGTGCGAGGCTGATACTTATGTTCTCCTTTTGGCTCTATCAATGAAGTAATAGGGGCAAAAGTAGAATTTTAAGTTTGGTGAGAAACACATTAAACACTAAAAACATATTAACTTGTACTACTTGCCAAATACACAAGTCCTCAATTGTTCCAAGCATAGTCAATTTATGCTAATATAACTCAATGATCCCATTGAGTTAAAGAAATCTGTAGAAACTCAAAGCTGTTTTAACATCGAACATGTCGGTACACAACCCGATTCTATTACATTGATGATAGTTTAATAATGATTCATATAGCTCTTCTAACAATTTGGAAAACAAATAATAACTCTTTAACCAAACCTCAAAATAAGTTACAAACATGATATCCTCACCCGACAAAAGCGGCAATGGAAGAAGTAACATTTATCACAAGTTTTTATTTTCTTCTGTTACTACTTATGTATGATTACCATGAATGGCACCCTTATGTCTCTTTGCTACTTTCAATAAGACTAGAGGCAGCCAGACATTAAGCATTTAACCAAGGGAACACTTTGGGTGAAGAAGGCAACCGAGCTGTAAGAACTTCAACTCCTGTCTCTGTCACCTACACATATGTAGGAAGAAATAACAATGAAATTAGAGATGTATACATAGATGCATTCAGCACAGACATAATTAACCAGGAATTAAACTCGGACAAACATCCCTTCGACACCAATATTAAATAACTATCCCCGTGTTCCTAAGGAGCTCGCCTACTAAATTTCAGTGCTGTATTTGTCAATGGGTGGCATTGCAATCCAATGTAGATAGATTAATTATGGCAGATTCGATTCAAGACAACTATTAAGCTACTTGTTTTGTTGCTCCAATTGAGTCCAACCTGCAAATCTTCCTTCCTAATTCGTATTATCTATCAAACTTTTTTATTTAAGGATCATATCCACACCACTTGGAAGTTATAATGTGATGCTACAGCGAATACAAATACTTGAGCTGCCCTAAAACCCAGAACAAGTCTCATAAATGGTTTTCATGACAAATTGAAATACGGATCATTCCAAAGAATTTCAATATTACATGCACATAAGAAAAGAATAAAGAAAAAGGTCTTCTAATATTGATGGAGCAGTGACAGTTACATAAGTTGAAACATATTACGCATGAAACATAAACTGCACAGTTACCAGAAGTGTGTGCTCAAATTGAGCACTGCGCTTGCCATCTGCTGTAACATCAGTCCATCCATCGGGCCACATCCGATCACGCCAAACCCCTATCCATATTTTATTTTGTTTGTTAATTTGTAGCTAGCAAATGAAGAAACCTATCACCCATATGATCATAAAACAAACTTTCAAAATACCTGCATTGATCATAGGTTCAATTGTAAAAGTCTGTCCAGCTTTCATCACACCAACAGCTTTATTTCCTGCTTGGTTCAGGCAAAAAACATTAAAGGTGCAAGCAAGAAAATGTATGATTCATACATATACAGAAGCTTCCTTATCGAACATACTTGCATAATGGGGAATATTTGGTGCACAATGAAAAAGCTCCCCAATACCATGACCGCAATATGATTTCGCCTGTTGGTGCAATACAAAATTACTATAATCTGTATGCCATATCTTAAAATAAAAAATGCAGCACAATTCCAAGCTCGAAGTTACAAATTACCACAGAGAATCCCGACATTGTCGCATTGCGATTAATGACTTCACCGACTTCACGAAAACGCATTCCAGGTTTTACTGCACGCGACAACAAAAAACAATCAGGAATAATCTTTTCCTTTTGTACTTTTAATCCGCAAACAATTGAAATTATTATATTGCACTGTCCAAAGCAGGGTTAAATAGGCTGACTTCTCAACATGTCAGTTATCACGAGGTGACAACATTCCATGTATCATTAAAATATTTTCACACAATTTACTAACACAATTAAGCAAACACATAACCACAAAAATATTTCAAGAATGATTACTTGCAACTTCCATGGAACCAAAGAAAATGTAAAATCAATATTGGATAAAACAATTATTATAACATATACATGAATAAGATAGCTGAGAAAATGTGCAATGATTTTAACCTGTGTATTCTTGGGCCCATGAAAAATCCAGGATATAAAACCCTCAAAACGAATAGTCTAGGAAACAAGTGGAAATTTTACAAAAGCAAAGATCACTGGTCAATTTCTGGCCATTTATTTTAAGAATGACACTCAGTGAATTCTGGTGATTCAGGTGACTACTTTCAGATTTTATGAATATCAACGTAAACTATTTTCCTCGAACACCTTTCATTACACACGAAAATTTTACATCCTCCCAAAAGGCAAGACTAATTGCTTCCAAACAAAGAGATGTGGTGCAATTGAATTGCAAGATTGTTAAAGCAATACTTGGTGACAGATGCACTAAAGAACTATTAAAAAGAAGCTGTTATTAAATCATGTTCTTAATGTCAGTTCCAAATTCTTGTTTAGGGTCTCAAGACAATTTACAAAAACGACACGAGAGGGATAGCAGTCTCTTAGAATTGTTATATTATATATGGTGCACATACCAATAGATATTGCTTTCTCCAAGCACTCATAAGTAGATTGGACTAGCCGTTGAGACTCTTCATCAACATTTCCCACAAAGTATGTTTCATTTAGATCACCTGCAGTTTAACAGTTGTTCATGAAAAGAACTTGTTCAAACTTGAACTACATGTTAAATGTGTAGAACACTTATTACTATGGACGCCTTTATAATACACGGTCACATCAACATTGACGATATCACCATCCTCTAATTTCCTGGAGCAAAAGTTTCAATAAGATGCAACATAAAAGAAGTCAAAAATGCTATCCAAGAGATTTTAACAACTATAATCTTCTTCTTTTTTTTAGAACAGTTAACTATTCTGAAGTAGAATTAAAAAGAAGAAAGAAACAAATGCAGGCAAAACAAAGCGTTAGCGGTTAACCAAACATTAGAAAGCTTAATTTCTCCGGTATGTACCCCTAACATAAAACAAGACTTAGTTATGCCAGCCCAGTAACGTTACCAAAGTGCAATTTTATTAATACAGTACTTCAAAACCCAAAACTGACCAGAAACAAAACAAGAGAGAAACAAAGTACAATATACAGCAATATAATGTGTTTTAAGACAAAGGTATATTAAATATACTAACTGAAACAGTTATCCATATTCTTTTTCCCCCCTTCAGTCCCCTCCCTCCCAAAATTAAAGAAAATAAATAAATCTCAAATGAATAGGTACAACGCATACCTGGCATCAGGAATCCCATGGCAAATTACTTCATTGACTGACCTGCAACAAAGATAAAAAGCAAAATGCAATTACAAAGTCAATACCATACAATCTGAATAAAGTTCGTTGAAAATGTACACAAAAAAGTACCTACGTGCAGCAAGACTTGGGGAAGAAATGATAATTGAGAGGAGATGGATATCCACCTGCAGTGGTTAAAAGCCAAAACATCATTACAACAGCCATTTTCTATTCTGGACAATAAAACATGCAAATATGCATACATAAAACATGGCCACTACAAAGCATACAACTGATCTTATTAGAGACAAATAGCAATAAATAGGGAAAAAATAAAAATAAAATAAAACTTGAATTAGAAAAAAAAAAATTGCCATGTCAACGAGGTATGGTCAAAGTCTTGATGAGAATAAGATATAAACCATTACAATAATGGACAAAGAAACATAATTATTGGAATACTAAACAAAATGAAAAGACATACCCTCAGCAATAGTAGCCTCATGGACCACCCGATCAATTTCATCAGTTGTGATACCAGGTCGGATTACACTAGCAGCTTTATCCAAGACCTTCCTTGCAATCTAGCAAAACAGTTATGACGAGAACATCAAGATATCAGTAAATTAAGAACATAAAGTCGAATGTAAGAGCAAGATTAATAAAAACCAAACAGAGAAAATCCTTCTTGAAAGAGTCAACTGGTATTATAACTTTGTCTAGCATTCAGTACTTGTATAGCAACACATTAACAAGTTTTTCAGTTTAAAGGCATACAACAGATGTTTGACGTGAAACGATGCCTGCAGCACGTTATGAAAAGAAGTATATACATGACGCAGCAAGCTAATACTGTTTAATTAAAACAAAACTTTAGGGGAACAAAAGGAAAGAATTAACTGGCACTTACTAGACAAGTTTCTCGCATTCTCTCAATTTGTTCCGGTTTCTTGATCTTCAAAAAGAATATATCATTCATCATTTAGAAAGAAAGAAAAATGAATAAAATATAAAGGAAAAGGAAAACCTAGAAAGGAAAAAGTCTGACTCATTATGTATGACTTATGAGGTTTTCAAGTAAATGCTTACCTCGACAACATACTGCAGATCACTATTGGGCTCAACTTTTGGAGTTCCCTGCAATAGATTTCTTTAATAAGGTCAACAATATAATGACAGGTAGAAATGGCAACAAAATGCAGCACTTCATTTCCATTTAGATCACCAATAGATGAAGCACTATATCTACTCAAATTTTGGTCGTTTGAACTACAACTTACATCAGCTGCCCAATCAGGTAGATCAATATGAGCAGGTACTATACGCTTACTAGATATAGGATACGGCCTCAGTGTCCTGCATAAGAAATAGCAACTTCCATGAAGAAATTCAAATGCGCATGTACAAGACATGAAATGAGGTAAAAGAAGTAAACTGATAGCACTTGAGATTTGTTAAAACAAAATATGTTCCATCCAATGCTATCAGCTAGCAATAGCCTAGCTGACACCATATCCATGATACATAAATTTCGAAATATAAAACAAATAATTCCAAGCATCAGAACCATCAAACTTAAATATCAGACAAAAATTAATATGGAATAAAAGGGAGAAAAACACATAGAAGTATACCCAGTCCAATCAAAATAGGGAAGCTTTGGTGTTCGAGCCTGTCCTTTCTTCAAGCAATATAGCCAACCTTCATTATCTGGAGTACCTGTCCCAGGTTCGGACGGCTTGGCCTTTAGATGCACTGACTTATGAGAGCTCCAAGAAGCCTTAAAACAATCCTGAGTACTGTTAAGAGATGCAAACTTTCATCAACACGAAAAACAAATAAATCACTTTCAAGCTTCTATTAACACATCTAAAGTACATTGTCAAACTGAAGTGCCAATGTGTGAAAACTCCTGAATGAAGTTAAACACTTGAAATGCTAAACTCACTGACAATCACTACATACCCCCAAGCTTTGCCAATAAAACTATATGACACTAGAATTTAGCATTAGTACAAAGAAGGAAATTGTTACAAACCAGAAAGCAGCCGTTTCACGAGGAAGCTTCAATTGCACACATTTGGGACACCTGCAAATAAAAGTCAAAGTTAACTAACAAAACTCAGTAAACCACCATAAAGTGCCATATTTTAATTCTTCATCACCCCAAGCATATAAGAATTGAGCATTTTACAATTAGTATCGCAAAGATTAAAGCTTTAGTAATTGAAATGGGAACCCTCCGCTCCAAAAGGTTTCCAAATGTTTAGAAACAACATATTCACTTTTTCCAAACACAATTAGCTATGAATCTTTGACCCACCAAAGAAAAAGAACATAAATTTATCATAATCTTTTTACAGAAATTATATATAGAGGAGAGGCTTGCTGAAATTGAAAAACTGAAAGAGAAAATTTTACATACTGAAGCTGGGCAGGTTTGCCGCAACTAGCACAGGACAAGCTAGCTGGTTCAGCCACATCTGAACCACCGGTCATAATCGCATTCGATGGTTTTAGCGATGACCTCATGAGAGCCGTCTGATGTGATTACCGGAGAGGTCAATTGCTCGGTTATTCAGTATCAGAGTGGTCACAGAGGGATACGGTTTGAGTTGAGAGGGAAATAAGTTGGTGATTTCTGTATTTATACAATTTTTTATCAACTCCTTTTTTTTAAGTCTTCTTTTTTTCTTTTAAATCTACTAGCAGGATATTTAAACTTTAAATTTATTCTAATATTGTCAGGAAAAATATCACTACATAAAAATTAACTTGTGTATTTATAATTTTATACATTGGTTATTTCTTTAAAACTTTTATTTCGGAAGAAAAATTACGGTCTAAAAATAATATGATACTCGTCAAAAATAACATAATACTTAAACATGAGTAATTATTGTTGAACGCTTGAGCTACAAATCTCTTACAGTTAAAAAGTATATTTTTGTGTTGAATACTATGGTTGTGATGATTTGCTTGTGAGGTCTACCCACAATCCGTTGTCACAATTTTGTAGCATCGCAATGGCATTACCGAATATGAAATCAATCGTGCCGTATATTTGACAGTCGCGATAAAATTGCCTATTCGCGTGGACATACAGTGTGTCTTGGTACCCTTTGATGCTGCATCGGTAGAACACTGCGACGTCTGAGCTCACCCTCAGTGCCACTGCCTGGTGCATTTCGGGACCTGCCGTGTTCTCAAGTGTTATGTCCCTTGCCAAAAAACCATCCCCTAATATAAACTTAGTATATTTAGGTCAATAATTTTTATTTTTTTTTGTAATTAAATAATATCTTAGCCTTATTTAATTACTTTCATTAGTAATTATATTTTAATTAGTATTTCTTTGGTGAATAATTAGTATTAAATATTTTAATTAACTTCATAAATTATATTACTCTATAAATAGTAATTAATTCCTTTTTAATTCTTTTCCGTTAATTAAATATTTAAATACTAATTATTCACTAAGTAAATAATAATTTAAACATAACATCTAATTAAAGTAATTAAAAAAGAGAAATCCATATTATCTTATTTATAGCGTCTAGCCGAACGGCTATACTTGTAAAATTTCTATTGATGGAGTATCGCCGCGCGTCTATACTTGTAAAATGTCTATTTAAAGAGTTTAGGCGCAGGGCTATACGTTTAAAATTCCTATTAAAATTTCTATTTAAAGCGTATAGCCACCCGGCTATACTGTTAAAATTCCTATTTACGGCGTATAGCCGACCGGCTATACTTGTAAAATTTCTATTCTAATCGTATAGCCAATTCCTATTTATGGCGTATGGCCGCGCGGCTATACTTTTAAAATTTCTATTAAAAAAATATAGCCGCGCGGCTATACGTTTCAAATTTCCATTTATAGAGTAAAGCGGTGCGGCTGTACTGTTTAAATTTCTATTTAAATAGTATCGCCGCGCGGCTATACGTTTCAAATTTCCATTTATAGAGTATAGCTGGGCGGCTGTCCTGTTTAATTTTCTATTTAATTAGTATAGGCCCCCGGCTATACTTTTAAAATTTATATTCATAGAGTATAGCCTCGCGTCTATACCTTTAAAATATGTAATGGAAAAATATAGTTGCTTAAGAGAGTTCCAAAAGGAGATTGATGAAACTTTGTATGGCAAAACTTTCACACAAAAAAACCCGTATAAAAACAAATAATATAAAGACAAAAAACTAAAATCTAAAAGTTTGATGTACCAGAGTTTTTATCTTTGGTTTAAATTTTGATATACCACCAGCATACCAGTGTACCATAGAAGTTGTCCAACTTTAGATGCAATACAAAGTCAACAACTTAAAAGGCCAACGTCAATTTAATTAGTTATTTAATATCAAACTATTATATTCTTTTGCAGTTGATGAAACAATAATGCTATTCATTTTAAAGAGTATAAACTGCGCGGATATACGTTTCAAATTTCCATTTATAGAGTAAAGCTCTGCGGCTGTACTGTTTAAATTTCTATTTAAATAGGCTATAGGTTTCAAATTTCCATTTATAGAGTAAAGCGGTGCGGCTGTACTGTTTAAATGTCTATTTAAATAGTATCGCCGCGCGGCTATACGTTTCAAATTTCCATTTATAGAGTATAGCTGGGCGGATGTCCTGTTTAAATTTCTATTTAATTAGTATAGGCCCCCGGTTATACTTTTAAAATTTATATTCATAGAGTATAGCCAGACGGCTATACCGTTAAAATATGTAATGGAAAAATATAGTTGCTTAAGAGAGTTCCAAAAGGTGATTGATGAAACTTTGTATGGCAAAACTTTCACACAAAAAACCCGCATAAAAACAAATAATATAAAGACAAAAAACTAAAATCTAAAAGTTTGATGTACCAGAGTTTTTATCTTTGGTTTAAATTTTGATATACCACCAGCATACCAGTGTACCATAGAAGTTGTCCAACTTTAGATGCAATACAAAGTCAAAAACTTACAAGGCCAACGTCAATTTAATTAGTTATTTAATATCAAACTATTATATTCTTTTGCAGTTGATGAAACAATAATGCTATTCATACCACATTCATATGCAGATTATATTGTTGAGTACCTCTTTAATAGAAGTGGAACCCATCAGTGTATGTGGGATTCACATATATTAGAGAGGCAATCAACAACGTGATCTGTAAATATGGTCCAAATAGGAACACCCATTGAGAAATGAGAGAGAGTCAAATCCCAATTGGATTAGTTAGACAGTTTTTAGACAATTGTTCGTTATGGTTCTATCTAATCCAAACCAACGTGAAGGAGAAGAAACTTCATGACTGGGCCAATCAACTATAGAATTATGCCGGCTGTCTCATTTATTCCTTTCTTTTTTCTTGGGGGTCAAAGTCAAGAAATCTGATGTTCGAGATCTTCCGTCTGTCCATTGATTTGAGCCTAAAGAGCAACCATTTTTTGAATGACCAAATTCAAAAGCAACTTCTGATGGCAGTAAGTCAAACCTTTGTAACATCTACGTATATTGTTTGAGAAAATTTTCAAAAAATAAACTTACAAGGCCAACGTCAATTTAATTAGTTATTTAATATCAAACTATTATATTCTTTTGCAGTTGATGAAACAATAATGCTATTCATAAAAGTTTGATGTACCAGAGTTTTTATCTTTGGTTTAAATTTTGATATACCACCAGCATACCATTGTACCATAGAAGTTGCCCAACTTTAGATGCAATACAAAGTCAACAACTTACAAGGCCAACGTCAATTTAATTAGTTATTTAATATCAAACTATTATATTCTTTTGCAGTTGATGAAACAATAATGTTATTATTCGTACCACATTCATTTACGGATCATATTGTTGAGTACCTCTCTAATAGAGGTGGAAGCCATCAATGTATGTGGGATTCACATATATTAGAGAGGCAGTCAGCAACGTAATCTGTAAATATGGTCCAAATAGGAACACGCGTTGAGAAATGAGAGAGTCAAATCCCAATTGGATTACAGATCATATGGTTGAGTACCTTTTTAATAGAGGTGGAACCCATCAGTGTATGTGGGATTCACATATATTAGAGAGGCAATCAACAACGTGATCTGTAAATATGGTCCAAATAGGAACACCCATTGAGAAATGAGAGAGAGTCAAATCCCAATTGGATTAGTTAGACAGTTTTTAGACAATTGTTCGTTATGGTTCTATCTAATCCAAACCAACGTGAAGGAGAAGAAACTTCATGACTGGGCCAATCAACTATAGAATTATGCCGGCTGTCTCATTTATTCCTTTCTTTTTTCTTGGGGGTCAAAGTCAAGAAATCTGATGTTCGAGATCTTCCGTCTGTCCATTGATTTGAGCCTAAAGAGCAACCATTTTTTGAATGACCAAATTCAAAAGCAACTTCTGATGGCAGTAAGTCAAACCTTTTGTAACATAGTAAAATAGGAGACTGGAAAATGTAAATAAAATATCTACGTATATTGTTTGACAAAATTTTCAAAAAATGCTGTGAATATAATATATACGGATATCTTACTGTATCTCTGAGAAGTGAACGGAAAACGAAAATATTATTGACAATTCGGCTTTATATATATATATATATATTTCATTTCAACTTGACTTGAACTTTGGTATACAACAAGGTAAGCTTATGTTAATTTCTATATAGGATATTAGTCATGATCACCCAATAAACCAACACTAACCGGATAGAGACTAAACATAATTGATATTAGAGAATTATAGCTTCCAAGACAATCATTCCATTTATAATTTGATTGCATTAATTCAAATTAGACCATCATATTTGTCAATGGGGGGTTGTTTTTCTTGAAAGAATGCATGACGGACTATTATTCTTCAATGAATTAAGCCGGCTGAATTGATATTAGCAGGTTGAATTGATATTTGCATGTTTATTTTGACTAACTATTTACTAAATATATATAAGCAAGCATAGACTTTTATTTGAATATATTTGTCCAAAATGAAAATCTGGCAACAATAACATATCTACTAAGACAATATTAGAATCACTAAAGTTGTCATGTCATAGGTATCGATAACTGCCTCTACATATTACTAATGATTTTAATATGTAATTGCATTCTAAATTCAGTTTTTCTATGTCAAAATTGGATAAATTGAAGACCAAGACAATTTAACTTAACTATTAACCAATATGAGAGGAGGGCCAATGAGGTCTAGTCCGGTTAAAAAGAACTTTGACTGACAAACTAGTGGTCTCAGGTTCGAACTACCATCACACCTCGATTGTGTGTGTATTTGAGAATTCCCCCTCCTTTTCTAGTTTAGACTATCGCTTGTACTCAAAACTATTACAATGCTTATTAAATCTGGACAATTATTCAACAATTTCATTGGGTCCTGGAAAAATTGGCAAAAACCTCATACTATACCACTTTACATATTGTCAACGACCGGCTTGTGTCCATCGAGGTAGTTGGACCAACCGTGAACTCCTAAACTCTATCCGTGTGCTTTTAAAATATAGGCTCTTGCAATTGCGTGTGGAACAATATAAATAAATAAAAAGGCATGAAGAGAGCCAAATGTGGTTGATATATTAATGCGAAGTCTACAATGTTTAGGATAAAGCTACCTAAACAAAAATTCAAAGTCTCCCTTAACTAGTTTACTAGCCGCTAGGCCCTGCCCTG